GAGTCAACTTAAAAATTAATTTGATTACACTTATTACAAAACATTGTAAAACTTGTCTAAATTGCGCAACTCTTCACTTTAACGCTCTGCTCTACATGATTTTGTGTATAACAATTTACACAAAAATGAGCAAATTGTTTACTCAAAGAAATTTGTATATTTTCAATTCAAAAAAGTAAGTTAAGATTTTACCGTAGTTTTAAGTTGACAGAACTCAAAATTTTAGTTAAATGAGATGATTTACGCAATTAATTGCGTAAATTTACACAAAATTTTACGCAGTCCATTTAACATTATGTTTCACGTAAGGTTTAAATCAGGGTCTCCAAACTTTACAGCCAGAGGGCCACATGACTTTCATCCAGCATGTTGAGGGCCGACGAATCGTATACCGCTGGTCAAAGAGCGAATATTTTAATAAAACGAAGTACATAACACAAGCTTCATTAGTTAAGAAAATATTTATTCAAAATTTAAAGGTTAAATTTCAACAAAGTGTAATATCATAACAAAATCACAATTAGTCTGTTCAGTTTTCTCAATGTGAGTGGTGAAATTGGCTTTCTTAAGTGTCTCTGCGGGCCGGATTGAGAGGCCCATCGGGCCGCATCTGGGCCGCGGGCCGTAGTTTGGAGACCCCTGGTTTAAATGATAAAAGCATCAAACTTATAAATACACAAATTATTTCACGTTTTTAATCAATCAGCAATTCTTGTTTGTAATTTGGCTACGTTTGCTGAAAGTTCAGCAAAAAAACTCGAAATTGTGTAAAAACATTTCCAGTCTCAGAAGTCGTCGACACACAAAAATCTTTAATGTTCACTAAATTTATCAAGAATTTCACTAAACAACTTAATGACAAAAATTTCTTCCAGCAAGAGTGAAGATCGTTCTATATACTTAATATATTTGTAAAACCCACGGTAACTTTACTATTAAAAATATGTCGAATTGTAGATTATGAATGTTAAAATTGCTTTTTTTAAATGTTATGTGGACTGTCTTGGTAACTTTTACAAGTATTTTGAAGAAAAGATTATATAGAAGTCTACTTTATATACTTTTTTAACCTAAATACAAATTTTACTATAGGCAATTTAAATGCGATATTTGGGGGTATATTCTGAACTAGCAATTTGTTAAAATATTTCGTAAGCGTGTTATATATAAATAACAACGAAACAAATCAACGCTAATATTTATGATGTTCAATGATTGAAAAATCATATGTAAATAGTTTCAAACTACTGCTCCATAAAATTGTTAAAGAAAATCAACAACATGCACTGTCTTTATTTCTATCGTACCAGAATGCAGCGTTGAAAGACGTGCTAGAAATATGGATTTTTACTTTATAGGCATATGAAATATCAGTGCATTATCAACTCTAGCCATGCAAACAAGGTATATCTACAAATTTTTACGGATTATTCCTATATTATTAATAGAAAACAAAGAAATAGCTAAATTATATACAACAAATCGTACCTCTTCCAGGATCACCTAAATATGAACTATCAAAATATCTATGTAACATTCTTTATTCTCTAGTCAAAAGTTCGCCTCACACCATCAAAACGCCACCACCTTCCTCGTCAACATTGACACCGTTAAACTACAACCAGACACAGACACAGTTATGATATCTTACGACGTGACATTACTCTTCACATCCATACTAGTAGACACAGCCAAAGTATTAAAAACGAACTATTTACAAACGACAAATCTTGGCAAGCCACGACACAACTTGACAAAAATGACATCTTAGACTTACTCAGTCTTTGCCTCTTCACTGAATTCTCCTTACAGAACTCATACCATAGACAAATTTCAGGCACACAAATTGTGTCACCACTATCCACCTTCACCGCAGAAATTATAATGCAACAACTCGAATCACAATCAGTCACCAACAACACAGACATCAGACTGAGGAAAAGATGTGTCGACGACATCTTTGCCATTGTCAAGAAAGACAAAACTGAACAAATCCTACAAACCTTAAACAATACAATAATAAACATAACCTTTACTAAAGATGAAGACATGAAAACAACTTACTTTTCTCTGTATCCTACTGACTAGAACAGCACACTAAACACACATATTGTGCCGCAAAACGACCCACACAGACCAAATATTTGATTTCAACATCAATCACCCAACACAACACAAAATATGCTGCATACGAACACCTTTTCATCAGAATCAACACTTATTGTAACACCGAAAAGGCTAAGAAAACAGAACGCAATTACTTATACTCCACATTTATAAAAACAATTACAATAGAAAATTTATAAACAAAATTATAAACAAAACACAAAACAAAACCCAAACCAACAAAAGTAACGAATAACCCGATGAAACAGTAAAAACAATCACATCCATGCATACATAAACGGAACATCAAAAAAGACTGCATGACTTCTTCGACCATTCAATATAAACGTCGCAAACAAACCAACACAAAGACAAATCATATTTTGCCAAACATAAAGACAAAACAACAACAATTCATGATACAACGGACGCAATCTACATGATGCCATTTAAAGATTGCTCAAAACAATACATATAGGACAAAAATCGAAGAAAATCGAAACAAGACTCACAGAACACAAAAACGCCATAAAACGACGAGATCCAAACTCATTAACGACAGAACACACGTTTGCAAATAACGACGCATAGGATTGGACAGAAATTAAAGTACTCGGACGCGCACAGACAAAACACGCACGCAAATTTAAAGACGCTTGGTACAGTAAAGACAACGACACAATGAACAAACATATTGACATACCTATCGTATATATTCACAGCTAAAGAAAAACGACAAAAAATCTACTAACGACACTCAAACCACAGCAACTCACGGTAATAATATATATTATCACAATCCTATTCACAATACACCCAAACCCACAACAACATATTTCACGTCATTCAATCACCTAAATCCACCATTAATAAAATAACTTATCCGGATAAACTTTTATCTTTCTAAAGTACATATATATAAGTTTAAAGAATGGTAATCCAGACATGCTTTATTGTAGTGCATGCCGTTATGTAATCTAGTACCTAATAACCAATTGCATATACAGTAAATAATAAATTATCTGTCAGTTTCCTGAAGATCGCCCTATGGCGTGAAACACCAAGTAGTGACAGCAAAAACTTATCAATATATTAACTATACAATACATTGATTTTTTAATACTGAATTGTAAGTAGCAATGCTGAAAATTACCATATATACATTGTTGTTCAATTATACATGGTTTCAGTTTATCTTTGTTGTTTTAGTATTTTGTCAAAGTGTTTCCTTCATGTGGTTATGTATAGATAACCAAGGTTAAAATCAACGCAAATACTCCCGATGTTCAAAATTACAAAAATCATGAATAAATATTTTTAAAATGCTGCTTCATAAAATTGATAAAGAAAATCAACAACAAGTAGTGTCTTCATTTCTATCGTCACAGAATGGAGCGTTGAAAGACGTGCAAGAAATACGGATTTTTACGAAATAACATACGACATATAAGTATATTATCAAATCTAGTTCTGCAAACAAGGTATGTACAAGTTTTACGTTGGGGATTATTCCATTTAGTAGAAAAATAAGGAAAACATAAAAACAAAAATATGTTTATAATACATTGATTTTTCAAAACAGAAATTTTACTAATAATAATAAAATTACCTTTTATACATTCTCGTTCACTCACTGCACCAACATTGATGGTACCTTTACTCTCATTACAGGAAGACAACGAGTTTGTTTTGGATATGGTTGATATGTATAGATGGGACATTTTTCACATTTCTTACTTTTAAAGGAAAAGAATGAACCAATTGAACAATCTATAAAGACGATTAATGAAAATAAAACGTTGACTGACAATTAAAATTCTACAGTTGATTTATTTATTGTATTCAATGTTTTTTGTTCCATTATGTAAGTTAACTATGAATCAAATGAAAAGTTAGAAAATTTTCAAGAACATTAAAGCAAAAGAGTGATCAAGCAAAACACTTCACATTCCAAGAAAACAAATACTTACCAAAAGCATTGCTAGGAATGGCCACCTTTGGTATTGTGTCACAGCTTCCTGGAGCAAAAGCAAGATTGTCGAGAGCTACAAAGTTTATGTATATCTCAAACACAGCTTCAACGATTAACTATGAAGAAAAAGTAAGCGGCTTGGACAAATTGCTAAAGTTTAATTTTAAGTTGTATAAATATGTGTAAGTTGCGTACCCTAGATAGACCCATGGTAAAATTAACTGTGACTTGGCCTTTTTTCCACTTAGTTACTTGATCATCACTTAATGACCACAGTAAAAGATTGTATCCATTGTGAAAATATTCTTGGTAAATATTTAATGTTCCAAAATAACCGAGATACATGTAATACGAAAATGAAAAGCACACGAGAGGGTCGTTGCGATAGTTTGCAACCAACCAAGCTTTGCCTGGAATAACTGATCCCAAACAAAGATATCGTCCTACAACACATGAAGAAATGTAAGATACATGTAGACTATATATATAAAGAATAAAAATATCGTCCTACAACACATGAAGAATTGTAAGATATATGTAGACTATATATATAAAGAAATATAAAATTATCGTGGTTTAACAAATTCAATAAACAAAATTTTTTAAAAAACCATAATAGCTATAAAATTATCATCTATTTTTGTGTCTTTTAGCTGAATGAAACTACATCTGATTTTAATTTTAAGTAAGTATCTATTTTAGATCCAGCAATATATTTATGACGTTAGATTTTATTAAGAAGTAACTTACTGTTTGACATTTAAAATCCGAGTTGTCATTTAAAGACAAAATCCTAGATACTCTTCATCATTTTTCTTTTTTTAATTCAAGCAGATGTACATACAACACTTATTCACTATAAACGCTGCCATCTTACCAATACTGAAGCCTGTAGCATCATAGCGTGGTGGGTCATAAATGATGAGTATGATGTACTAAGTTTCCAGTCAAAGTCATCGTCACCTTCTACGTTGTGCCATGGACATTCAGTAGTTCCCAGTCCCTTTTGAAAATCACATCTTTTGACTGAACGAAGAAGAAATCGAAAGTTAAACAGCCATATTAGTTGTTATAGAATATAGGAAAAGTCTGAAATGCATTTGTATGGAATAAAAACACACCACACAAGATAATGGGTTTTTAACTGCAAAAAATGTTGTGTAAATTGTACACAAAAATTTCAGTAAAATGTGTATCCACAGTGACACAAACGCTAGTGTATAGACTACATAAAACTATTGGTAAATTTAATATTTTGAGTGAAAGGATGAATTACACACTTTTGGGAAAATGTATAACACAAAATTGTAGGCAAAAAAATATAGAAACAGACAATGCATTTACAGCAACACTGGTTTTAGAGTAAAATTTCCATTAAAACACACTTATAAATAGGTATAAAGAGATAGTCGTTTATTGTGTAGAAAATTACATTGATCAATAAGACATGTATACTACAAGACCAAGCATATATTAATAGTCGTAATACTAACTAGCTGACAGCGTCATGCAGCATATGCGGCGCTAGTCAAAGTAAAGATAACATGCATCGATTATATGTGGATTACTGGATTTTTAAGAACTCGTGAAAATATATTTTCCGTGCAGACATCCCTTCCGGTAAATAACATATATTTTATGAGTCAACTTAAAAATTAATTTGATTACACTTATTACAAAACATTGTAAAACTTGTCTAAATTGCGCAACTCTTCACTTTAACGCTCTGCTCTACATGATTTTGTGTATAACAATTTACACAAAAATGAGCAAATTGTTTACTCAAAGAAATTTGTATATTTTCAATTCAAAAAAGTAAGTTAAGATTTTACCGTAGTTTTAAGTTGACAGAACTCAAAATTTTAGTTAAATGAGATGATTTACGCAATTAATTGCGTAAATTTACACAAAATTTTACGCAGTCCATTTAACATTATGTTTCACGTAAGGTTTAAATCAGGGGTCTCCAAACTTTACAGCCAGAGGGCCACATGACTTTCATCCATCATGTTGAGGGACGACGAATCGTATACCGCTGGTCAAAGAGCGATTATTTTAATAAAACGAAGTACATAACACAAGCTTCATTAGTTAAGAAAATATTTATTCAAAATTTAAAGGTTAAATTTCAACAAAGTGTAATATCATAACAAAATCACAATTAGTTTGTTCAGTTTTCTCAATGTCAGTGGTGAAATTGGCTTTCTTAAGTGTCTCTGCGGGCCGGATTGAGAGGCCCAACGGGCCGCATCTGGCCCGCGGGCCGTAGTTTGGAGACCCCTGGTTTAAATGATAAAAGCATCAAACTTATAAATACACAAATTATTTTACGTTTTTAATCAATCAGCAATTCTTGTTTGTAATTTGGCTACGTTTGCTGAAAGTTCAGCAAAAAAACTCGAAATTGTGTAAAAAAATTTCCAGTCTCAGAAGTCGTCGACACACAAAAATCTTTAATGTTCACTAAATTTATCAAGAATTTCACTAAACAACTTAATGACAAAAATTTCTTCCAGCAAGAGTGAAGATCGTTCTATATACTTAATATATTTGTAAAACCCATGGTAACTTTACTATTAAAAATATGTCGAAATGTAGATTATGAATGTTAAAATTGCTTTTTTTAAATGTTATGTGGACTGTCTTGGTAACTTTTTCAAGTATTTTGAAGAAAAGATTATATATAAGTCTACTTTATATACTTTTTTAACCTAAATACAAATTTTACTATATGCAATTTAAATGCGATATTTGGGGTATATTCTGAACTAGCAATTTGTTAAAATATTTCGTAAGCGTGTTATATATAAATAACAACGAAACAAATCAACGCTAATATTTATGATGTTCAATGATTGAAAAATCATATGTAAATAGTTTCAAACTACTGCTCCATAAAATTGTTAAAGAAAATCAACAACATGCACTGTCTTTATTTCTATCGTACCAGAATGCAGCGTTGAAAGACGTGCTAGAAATATGGATTTTTACTTTATAGGCATATGAAATATCAGTGCATTATCAACTCTAGCCATGCAAACAAGGTATATCTACAAATTTTACGGATTATTCCTATATTATTAATAGAAAACAAAGAAATAGCTAAATTATATACAACAAATCGTACCTCTTCCAGGATCACCTACATATGAACTATCAAAATATCTATGTAACATTCTTTATTCTCTAGTCAAAAGTTCGCCTCACACCATCAAAAACGCCACCACCTTCCTCGTCAACATTGACACCGTTAAACTACAACCAGACACAGACACAGTTATGATATCTTACGACGTGACATTACTCTTCACATCCATATTAGTAGACACAGCCAAAGTAGTATAAACGAACTATTTACAAACGACAAATCTTGGCAAGCCACCACACAACTTGACAAAAATGACATCTTAGACTTACTCAGTCTTTGCCTCTTCAGTGAATTCTCTTTACAGAACTCATACCATAGACAAATTTCAGGCACACAAATTGTGTCACCACTATCCACCTTCACCGCAGAAATTATAATGCAACAACTCGAATCACAATCAGTCACCAACAACACAGACATCAGACTGAGGAAAAGATGTGTCGACGACATCTTTGCCATTCCAAGAAAGACAAAACTGAACAAATCCTACAAACCTTAAACAATACAATAATAAACACAACCTTTACTAAAGATGAAGACATGAAAACAACTTACATTTCTCTGTATCCTACTGACTAGAACAGCAAACTAAACACACATATTGTGCCGCAAAACGACCCACGCAGACCAAATATTTGATTTCAACATCAATCACCCAACACAACACAAAATATGCTGCATACGAACACCATTTCATCAGAATCAACACTTATTGTAACACCGAAAAGGCTAAGAAAACAGAACGCAATTACTTATACTCCACATTTATAAAAGACAATTACAATAGAAAATTTATAAACAAAATTATAAACAAAACACAAAACAAAACCCAAACCAACAAAAGTAACGAATAACCCGATGAAACAGTAAAAACAATCACATCCATGCATACATAAACGGAACATCAAAAAAGACTGCATGACTTCTTCGACCAATTCAATATAAACGTCGCAAACAAACCAACACAAAAGACAAATCATATTTTGCCAAACATAAAGACAAAACAACAACAATTCATGATACAACGGACGCAATCTACATGATGCCATTTAAAGATTGCTCAAAACAATACATATAGGACAAAAATCGAAGAAAATCGAAACAAGACTCACAGAACACAAAACGCCATAAAACGACGAGATCCAAACTCATTAACGACAGAACACACGTTTGCAAATAACGACGCATAGGATTGGACAGAAATTAAAGTACTCGGACGCGCACAGACAAAACACGCACGCAAATTTAAAGACGCTTGGTACAGTAAAGACAACGACACAATGAACAAACATATTGACATACCTATCGTATATATTCACAGCTAAAGAAAACGACAAAAATCTACTAACGACACTCAAACCACAGCAACTCACGGTAATAATATATATTATCACAATCCTATTCACAATACACCCAAACCCACAACAACATATTTCACGTCATTCAATCACCTAAATCCACCATTAATAAAATAACTTATCCGGATAAACTTTTATCTTTCTAAAGTACATATATATAAGTTTAAAGAATGGTAATCCAGACATGCTTTATTGTAGTGCATGCCGTTATGTAATCTAGTACCTAATAACCAATTGCATATACAGTAAATAATAAATTATCTGTCAGTTTCCTGAAGATCGCCCTATGGCGTGAAACACCAAGTAGTGACAGCAAAACTTATCAATATATTAACTATACAATACATTGATTTTTAATACTGAATTGTAAGTAGCAATGCTGAAAATTACCATATATACATTGTTGTTCAATTATACATGGTTTCAGTTTATCTTTGTTGTTTTAGTATTTTGTCAAAGTGTTTCCTTCATGTGGTTATGTATAGATAACCAAGGTTAAAATCAACGCAAATACTCCGATGTTCAAAATTACAAAAATCATGAATAAATATTTTAAAATGCTGCTTCATAAAATTGATAAAGAAAATCAACAACAAGTAGTGTCTTCATTTCTATCGTCACAGAATGGAGCGTTGAAAGACGTGCAAGAAATACGGATTTTTACGAAATAACATACGACATATAAGTATATTATCAAATCTAGTTCTGCAAACAAGGTATGTACAAGTTTTTACGTTGGGGATTATTCCATTTAGTAGAAAAAATAAGGAAAACATAAAACAAAATATGTTTATAATACATTGATTTTTCAAAACAGAAATTTTACTAATAATAATAAAAATTACCTTTTATACATTCTCGTTCACTCACTGCACCAACATTGATGGTACCTTTACTCTCATTACAGGGAAGACAACGAGTTTGTTTTGGATATGGTTGATATGTATAGATGGGACATTTTTCACATTTCTTACTTTTAAAGGAAAAGAATGAACCAATTGAACAATCTATAAAGACGATTAATGAAAATAAAACGTTGACTGACAATTAAAATTCTACAGTTGATTTATTTATTGTATTCAATGTTTCCTGTCTCATTATGTAAGTTAACTATGAACCAAATGAAAAGTTAGAAAATTTCCAAGAACATAAAACAACAAAAGTGATCAAGCAAAACACTTCACAATCCAAGAAAACAAATACTTACCAAAAGCATTGTTAAGAATAGCCACCTTTGGTATTGTGTCGCAGATTCCTGGAGCAAAAGCAAGATTGTCGAGAGCTACAATGTTTATTGTGTATCTACCCACGAAAGCTTCAACGATTAACTATGAAGAAAAGTAAGGGCTTGGACAAATTGCTAAAGTTTAATTTTAAGTTGTATAAATATGTGTAAGTTGCTACCTTAGATAGACCCATGGTAAAATTAACTGTGACTTGGCCTTTTTCCACTTAGTTCCTTGATCACCACTTAATGACCACAGTAAGGATTGTATCCATTGTGAAAATATTCTTGGTAGATATTCAATGTATTATAATGACTGCGAATATAATACGAAAATGAAAAGCACACGAGAGAGTCGTTTCGATAGTTTCCAACCAACCAAGCTTTGCCTGAAATAACTGATCCCAAACGAAGATATCGTCCTACAACAAATGAAGAAATGTAAGATATATGTAGACTATTTATATAAAAATAAAGATATCGTCCTGCAACAAATGAAGAAATATAACATATATGTAGACTATATAAAAAGAATGAGTATTTATTGATAACACATTTATCTAAAATTACTTACAAGGTCGCTCATAATAAGATTGATGCTTTTGGCACGCTTTGTGCAGTTAGATACAGCCGTTTTTTTGTGTAGGTATAAAATTTACTTCACCTAGTTTTCTGGCATAAATTTATGAATACAAATATATCGCAGTTTAAAAATTCAATAAAAAATTCCAAATATAAAACGAAATTGATTTTAAAACTAATTTTAACTGTAAAGTCTTTAATTATCTAATTTAGACCAAGCAAAATATACGTAACATTAGATTTCATAAACAAGATTTTAATTAAGAATTATAAAATAAGCACATTGAAACGCGTGGGCTGATTGGTCTAGAACTGTGTTAACATTAGCCTGTGCTAAACACATCCGAGCCCAACCAATCAAATAAATCATAACAATAAATCAGCGAAAGAGTATTCGAAAATCAATTATGAATACATTTTAGAGGAAAAATAAAATGTTTTTTTGTCTCGAATTATTGTTATTTTATATAAGAAATGAAAGATGTTTTTCGTGCTTGAACTTGCTTATGCAAACCTAGGAGACGTTTGTGGGAACTCTCGAGCAGGTGCAACCCTCGAACTTCGGTCTGGGGCTTGCACTAGTTTGCATAAGCCTGCGAAGTTTGCATAAGCCAGTGCAAACACGAAAAACATCTTTTATTTCTTTTGTAAAATAACAATAATGCAAAACAAAAATAACGTTTTAATATTCGTCAACGTGTATTCATTATTGATTTGCAAATTCTTTTTGATGGATTGGTTGATTTGATTGGTTGAGCTCAGATCGTTATTCCCACGCTAATGCAAACACAGCTCTAAACCAATCAGCGCACGCATTACATTGTGTTTATTTTGTAATTATTGATGACAAGCATTTAAAATCTGAGTTGTCATTTTTGAAGACAAAATTTTATTAAATGACCTCTATCATTTTACTTATTGCAGCTTAAGCTGTCAGCTGGTTAAACTGTTCAAAATCTAATGTCTCTTTATTATAAATCACTTCAATCTTACCAAAATTAGAACCAGTAGCGTCATAAATTGAGTTTCTATATGCAGTACCAAGTTCCCAGTTTAAGTCATCGTCTCCTTCCACATTGCGCCATGGACAAACAGTTGTTCCCACTCCTTTTTGAAAATCACAGTTTTCGACTGAATGGGAAAAAAATCGAGATTTGAATAGCCATATTAGTTGTTAAAAATAAAGCAGAAGCCTAAAATGTATTTGTATGAAACAAAAACACACCACACAATACAACAGATTTTTAAGCAACGCTATGCTCCACAGCAGTTTAAATGATAAAAGCATCATAAACTTTTAAAGGTAAAATGATTTTGCTTTTAAATTATTTATCAATTCTTCTTTGTTGTTTGACAACATTTGTCGAATGTTTAGCAGAAAACTTGAAATTGTGCTAAAAGATTTCCAGTCACCGAAGTCGTGGACACACAGACATCTTTAATGTGCACTAAATTTATCATGAATTTTACCAAACAACTTATTAACACTAAAGTTTGCAACAAGAATTAAAATTCTTCTACCTGTTTTGCTTGCAAAGCTTTTGGAATTAGTAGGCAGTGCAAAAAATCTACCTAGTGTGCGTGTTATTTAAACGATAATAATGGTAATTCTACTCTACAGGGTGTGTCAAAACCCTGAAAAGTTTGGAAAACGACACTAAAGTCATTTGGGCATACGATTTGCAAACGTTTCGTGGAAATAGTCAGCTGGATTTCCAAGGCGTTATCTGAGTATCTGAGAGGAAAATTGTCTCAAATAAGAAAATTTAAACGTAAAAATTGTGTTACAGAGAAGCTCATTTGAAATAGCTTGCGCATAAAAATCATATAGGTGTCATGAGTATTGATTAATTTGTAATTTGAGTAGTCGGTTCCAGTCTAATAAAGACACGAGCACAATCATTACATGGTGTCAGATGGAGAAATTTCGACCCCAGATCCACTCATATTCGAAGGAAATTTATCAGATTTATGGGATAGATGGAAACAACAATTCGAGCTTTATCTGGTAGCTACAGAATCACACGACAAAACAGAAGATATCAAGACGTCAATTTTACTAACATGTATCGGGAAGCACGGCGAAGAGATCTACAATACATTTACGTTCTCTGACGAGGCAGACAAATTGAAATTGAAACCAGTATTGGAGAAGTTTGAAGCATATTGCAAGCCGAGAAAAATATCCTCTACTTCGACAAAATTTCCTTACGCACAAGCAACATGATGGGGTGACATTTGATGCCTTTGTCACCGAGCTAAAAAGACGAAGTGCACAATGTGAATTTGGCGACCTTAGAGAATCACTCATCAGAGACATGATAGTAATCGGGGTCTCAGACAACCCGCTTAGAGAGCGACTGTTAAGGACGGAGACTTTGACTCTAGAAAACGCAATAAAAATTGGTCAGGCATCAGAAGCAACAAAGCAACAAGCAATGACATTAAGCAGACCACACACCGGAAACCAGAACAATGTCGACGAACTACGCACGAAATCAAACAATACAAGGCGCCAACGACAACAAAGCGCATATACTTCTTTATCTTCGCAAGCTCACAGCAATTGTAAATACTGTGGCGATATTCACCAACGAGGAAAATGTCCTGCATATGGGAAAACATGCTCAAAGTGTCATAAATTGAATCACTTCGCCTCTGTTTGCTTATCTACATCCCGCAGCGTACATTATACCACGGAAGGTCATGAAGGTCACGATTACGAGATCACAAGCGATGCCAATAACATTTTCATAGGAACTCTCTCAACGGAAGTGACAGACAACTCCGTCAATACGGCTAATATTACGCAAGATGGAAATCGTGACTGGATTATCTCTCTGCGATCAAATGAAAGTGTCACGCGGTTCAAAATTGACACTGGAGCTCAGGCTAACGTCATACCAATGGCAACAATTGAGAAACTAGCAACTAGACCGCCTATTGAGAAACTAATACAACGTTGACAGCATATAACGGAATGAACATTCCAGTGGTTGGAAAATGCACGCTGGACATTCAACATAACAATCAAACTCATGCAATACCGTTTGTTGTTGCAAACACTACTTCACCGCCACTAATTGGGTTACAAACCAGCATCGACCTCAATCTTATAAAGCGAGTTTGGACAGTAATTGCTAAAACACCAAACTTCATACAAGAGTACAAAGATGTTTTTGGAGAACTTGGATGCCTAAAGGGTGAACATCACATTAGCATTGACCCCAATGTAACGCCAGTAGTTCATCCGCCTCGAAAGATTCCAATATCACTTATGGAACGTCTCAAAGCTGAGTTAAACGACTTGAAAAAGACGTCGTCTGGCATTTCGAAACGAAACACCGTCAAGCCATAGAAAATCCAAAACACTCGTCACCAGCAGTCCAGTGTTAACCTACTTTAATCCAAAACATGCCATAAGGATCACAGCTGACGCCTCTAAATCAGATCTTGGTGCAGTACTCGAGCAATTAGAAGAGAACACCTGGAAGCCCGTCGCATATGCTAGTAGAGCAATGACTCAAAGTGAGCAAAACTACGCACAGATAGAAAAAGAGACATTGGCAATTGTGTTTGCATGCGAGCGCTTCCACGAATACACCTACGGCAGACCAATCACGGTACGTTCAGACCACAAGCCACTCAGAAGCAATCTTTTCAAAACCACTGTGCAGGGCTCCTCCGCGCTTGCAGAATACTGCTCAGGCTCCAGCGATATGAGCTAAGTGTTGACTACACACCAGGAACGGATATTCCCGTTGCAGATGCTCTTAGCAGAGCATACCTGGAAAGTAAACCCACCAGAGATATCAGAGCAGACATGAACTGTCATGTGCACTCAGCTCTGCACAACCTGCCAGTATCAGTTCCAAGCTACTAAATTTAAAACTCGAGACTGCTAAGGATCCTACTCTTCAAGAGCTGAAAAACATAACTGTAATGGTCTTCCATCCAACAAACAACTCATCCCTGATGCTGTCAAATACATACCTGACTTCATCGATGAAATATCAGAAGCTGAAGGAATCCTCCTTAGATCAAACCGCATCATAGTACCCTCCTCAATGGACGTGAGATGAAAGCAAGAATTCACGAGGGACACTTAGGAATTGAGCGATGCAAAACGAGAGCAAGAAGTGATCTTTTGGCCAGGGATGGCTACAGAAATATCTGTATGATGATTTCCCCACTGTGAAACATGCCTAGAATCAAGAAAACGACAGCAACGCGAACCACTTATGCCACTACCACAGCTCATCATGCCTGGAGCAGAGTAGCATGTGACTTATTCTACATGAATGGCAAGGACTATTTACTAATTGTCGACTACCATACTAGTTTTCCAGAAGTAAGTCTACTTTCAGAAACTACCTCTGCCGGAATAATCAAGCACACGAATCAATATTTACCAGACACGGTATACCAGACACAGTAGTCACAGACAATGGACCACAATTCGCTTCGA